CCACGTAAGTGATAAAGTGGGAACCTGAAACCACGACTAACTAACCCAATCAATATTCTTCCCTTTCCTAAGTAAGGAGAGCCACTTAAAAGGCGCAAAAGAAAAGAGAAAAAATTTAAGCTCAGGATTAGTCACCCAGGATTTTTTATTATATTTGACTACTCTTTGGCTCCTCTTGTCTTCAAACTGTAAACATTCCCTAAAGTTAATTTCTTAATTCTGTGTCCTTTGCTCTCTATCACAGAGTGACAAATATAGAATTCAAAAATCTTCCCCTTGGGGAAATCTCTCAAGTTCCTTTCCCCTTGGAGTTTTCATTTATTTCCATGGCTTCAGTGAGGATGATCCCAAATTGGTCTCTGCTTGACCTTTCTGTACTAAGCTTCAGTTGTACTAGATAACCTTCCATTTGCCCCTACGGACCTATACGCCACCCTTCACTCTCTCCCAGGAGGCTGACTTCCCTGGCTCCCTCTCTGTGGCACTGCCCTCAAGTCAGCTATGTGCTTTGACCAAAGGTCCCAGATTCTCTCAAGGTAACCCTCTCTCCAGGGCTCTCCTTCTGGGTTCCAGTAACCCTTCCCTCTGTTTGGCCCTTGGGCCAAAGGACAGGAACAGCTCTGCTACTGCTAGTTCTGGAGTACCACCCTCATCACTTATGGTTACCCTACACTTGCCGACACATTTGTAACTAGCCATTTATTAAAACATTCCTTCAATTATCCTAATTTGAATATGCCCTCTCTTTTGTGATGGGGCACTGAACATACATTTGTACATCTTTAAATACCTAATTATTTCCCCTTAGATGCTCTGCTTCAAATCAAAATCAACATGCTTATTATCAAACTTATCTGCTTCCCCAGTCTTGCCTTCCTCAAAACCCTTTATGATACTTTCGCCATTATTAGGGTCAAAAAACTGAGTAATACCTTACCTATCTATGTTTCTCCCCCTAATCTATCATGCCTAGTCTTATTAGATCATACACAGTAGAAGTGCTTATATAAGCCCCTTCTGTTCCTATTGCTTCTTCCTTGTTTTAATACTTCTCAAGCCATCCCTGAGTCATACATACTACAAGAGCTAGTCTTTCTGCCACATCTTTCCCCTACAATTCATTCTCTATCTACTGAGATACTGATCACTTAGTACTTTCTACTCAAAACCTTCCAAATCTTTGTCTCTTATATGGCTAATTACTAACTCTTAGGTTCAAATCACAATCTAGTCACAGTTCTTAACGGAACCTCCTATTAATATCTTATTTACTCAGTATCTTCTAAACATATCTCAAATTTCTACACCCCACCCATTTGTTAACTATATTTCCCTCAGTCTACGTGCCTTTCTGCTATCTGCCTACCTGCTATCTGCCCAAACAAATCCTACCATTTGTCCTCCTCCTTTCTCTAAAACACTCCCTAATGCTGTAAGTTGAACTTTCCTCTTCTGAAAATTTCTTTGAATTTGTAAGTAGTGCTCAACTGATTCTACACTGCTTTATATTTTGATTATAATATATATATTTTATCTCCACAAAATATAAATTACTACCACCTTGAGGGAAAAAAACATGTTGAACACAGTGCCCCAGCACATAACAGATACAAAGTATTTATTGATATATTCTCATAAATTAAAGTGGAAGGTGATGAGGATAAATATAGTTTAAGTTAAGGTGCAAGATGAAGCAGCAGATTCTCAACAGCTCAATCTTTGCAGCCAAGTCTTAAAAGATTTCCAGCAAAACTTACCTATTATTGATTGCATTGGTATAAACTTGTTACTTTTTACATGGTACTCTGTAATAACTCATTAAAATTTATATATATGTATAATATAAATATTATACATATATATATATATATATATTTAAGGAGTGAACATAAAAACTGAATTTCCACATCTTAGTAGGGAATCCAACAGACTCCAGAGGCCTCCAGAAACTGCTGCACTCTGCAGCCACTGGCAGAGGTACTTCGGCCTGCCGGAGTTGAGACCACCCTTCATGCACACTTCGTTACTACCCCTCAAAGGCTCTTGATGATTACTAAACTTCAGTTATTATCAAAAAGCAATTCACAGGTTTAGATGAGTATGTCTATTTTTAAAGTTTTAAAATATACTTGGTTTTTCCCATATAATTTAAGAGAGGATTACTATTACACACAAGCCCTGTGAGGGAAATGCAGATGTTCAGTCTATAAAAAAGTGAAGCAAGATAGCCTATAATTACTACTAACAAAACGAGAAGTCACTTTATACACGAAATAATGAAGACAGCTAACTGTACATCATTATCTGACTTTAGGACTCCTGCCTGGACGACGCCATGAATACTGTTTCTGGTATGGATACGTATGCATGGGGATACAGGAATAAAAGAAAAGAAACTTCAGTGAGAACACGCAGAGGACTGATATAACAGATCAATAAATATAATTATGAACACTTTTTAGACTAATATAATCTAAATCATAATGTAGGAGCATTCCAGGAAGTATTTCCTAGACGTACAAAAGGAAATCTTATTCTCTACAGATCTCACTTCCACCAATTCACCAAACAGAAGCTGCTGTAGCCATCTTATAAATATTCCTTTCCTTTACTTCCCAGTCATCTTCCTCTCCAAAACCTACATATATCTGGGATTTAACTTAAAAATTTATTATCACCACAAGAAATGAACCCAATCCTAATCCACTACCTAAAAGGAAATATGCATTACATTAAGTCATAACAACCTTTCTTCATCTACATAGGTTCTAGCTATCAGGAGAATGAAAATTTATTTATATTTCAACTCATTTAAAAATGCATTTTAGTCTTTAAGTAGAAACAAAATTAAGCTCAGATTAACTGATTCTAAACTAAACTACGTATATTAACAATCTTACTAAGTTACTATGAGCCATGCTATTTTAAAATAAATTAGTATATTGTAGTCTCCAAGTTCTGCACGCCTTATGATGAATAAGTGTGAGTGCATTAAACTGTTCTGATTACGGATGTACGGGCAAGTAGTTTTCAGTCTGAATTTGGCGTTGCCTTTAAAAGAGCTGTATCTGAATTCTGCATTTTGCAGTGTTCTTCTATAAGGAGAGCCAAGAATAGCTACACTATACTAGTCTTATTTTTAGAAGTAATATGGATTTTAGAGGCAAAGTGGGTTTTAAAAAATTCGTGAGCCAGAATGGAATTAAAAAGAAAATGTAAGATGAGCTTCTCAGGTTACTTTTAGACTATTTTAGAATAAGGTAAGTTAGTTACCAAAATTTCCTTTTAGTGTTGAAGAAAAATAAACCTAAAAAACATTATCAAGTATTCAAAAACTACTTTTAAAATACCACAAAAGTAATTGTTCTTTTATCCAGACTTTGTACATCCTCTTTTTCAAGATTATAATCACTCATATCTTTGCCCTGCAAATGATATCATCACCCTCAGAGAGTTCAAGAAGACGAAGAAAATAAAATCCCTTAAATGGATTCTATTCGCTTCCTATTTGGAATTGTTTTTACCAGATTAATTTAAATGAATGAACTGCTGACCATCAAGTGTACAACGAGTAAGATTTGGTCAACGTGCTCTGGTATTTTAATGTGAATTTAAATTTCTACTGACACAAACGTGGCACTGTAGTTTTCAGTTTTCAAAGCTTCCAATTTGCTACCAAAATCAGTCTTCCCTTTTTTTTTTTTTTGATCAAAACATTTTCCAGAAATTTCAATCAGTTCTACTTTCTTCATTCAGCTTAAGCTATCATACTTTTTTCTTGTCCCATTAGTTTTCTATTCAGTTATGCTCCTATAATAAAATCAGTTACAATATCTACTTCAAGATATCCTGCGTAATACTTTTGTGAGTTCTTCTTATTCTTTTCCTCAAGAAGAAAATTCATCTCTACCACTAACCTTCTAGCTTCGGACTGGAAAGCTGTCCAAACTCTCAAAAGAAAACATACGTTATCTTCCTGCCACTTGCACTGGAAATCAAGTACCACTCCAGACTACAGTCACAAAGACTTTATGATGTGTTTAGCTACCTGTTTCGATAAAATGACTTGATTACCACTGCACGTGGGGTTTGCTGGCACTGTTGTCATCACTGCTCCAAAGAGCAAGGTAACTTCCAACCCCTCAGCTCAACCAAAAAAAAAAAAAGAACTAGGGAGTGCTACTGGGCCTCAACAAGCAGAAAGACATCAAATACACAAAATTTTTAATCATGAGACTTTGCTACATTTAAAGAAATTTATCTAAAGTATTAAGAATTTTTATTAGGATTGTAAACCAAATATAAGGATTCTTTTTCTCTATTAACTGATAAAGATAAATTTAATGTTTATTATTATAAAATTGTCACTATAATCCTTCTGGTAAAAAACTCTTTTTTCTTTATGGTCAATGGCAAAAATGAAAAGGTTTCTCCAAGAATTATACATACTAATGCCCAATTAAACAAACAGTTATCTCACCACAGACATATTGAAATACCAAAATTTCTAAGAAGACAAAAAGGGAAGAGGAATCTGATAGACTACTACAAAGATGCTTCTGACCTAGGAAAAAAGAAATCATACTGCTCCGATATTGGTTAAAAGAAACTCTAATCTACTATGGAATGAGAATACTGTACTTATTTTTTGAATTAAAAGAAATCTAGTATACTAGTCTATTGACTTCTACAAATAAATAACAACTAGTCAATATTTCCACTCCCAGAAAAAAAAAATGACAAAAATAGTTTTATTATTATGGGTCTGTAATTTTGTCCTTAGGGTCCGTGATATGAGACTCTGTTGGACTTCAAAGAATTATAATGTAGAACTTTATATATATAAATTCCCTTAAACAAGAGATATTTCACTTGTTTCCAAGCTATACTAAATAGCATTAAAAAGAGGTTTTTCGGTATATTATTCAATTGGCAATAGTAATGTTGACACTTACAAAAGGAGAAAGTTATAAATAACGAACATTTAATGAGATGTCTACCTGTTTCCACATTCTCGGTCTCAACTTCTTGTTCTTCTGCCACATCTTGCATCATATAAGTCTCATCATCATAAACCAGAACCTGGGCTGCATAGCCCTGCTCTAATCTGGCACTTGGAACTGGCTCCACAATCACTGCTGGATATTCAGAAACCTTTCCACTTTCCTACAAGAGCAAATTTAAAAAACAATCAACCTCTTTATTCACAAATTCTGGATTCACTTATAAATCCTTGAGTTCATATAGTCTCAAGGAGTTCAAACGAGTGTCATGTATTATAAATATGAATGTAAAAACCAAAGTGAGAGATGAGAAGGACTAATTTTAATAATCTTTTCACGTCTCAAGAGGTGAGACATATATTAAACATTTTAAATAATCAGGGCTTTAGGATTAAGATGGCAAATTAAAAACATGCATATAATTTCACTCTCTCATGAAAGCCCACTAAAATGCTATAAAAGACTTTTTCAGACATAAACTCGTAAGAAGGGATAAGAGCAACAAAATCTTGAAAGACTGAGAGTGGATGGATGAATATTGTTAAGTGGTTTAGCAGACCCAGGAAAGCCAAATCGTAGCCTGGCAGCAAAAACTAAATGAGACACAACACACTTTACACTGGAGAATCCACAGAAGGCAGTGCCACTTCCTTCTGGAAACAGAGGAGCAGGAGGTAACGGACAAAGAAGAGGGGGGTTAATGCAAGGAAGATTCCAGGAAAGTTGTCTGAAAAGCACTTTGATTCCTAGACCTGCTCCCTCCTCCATGATGCTAGGCAACGGGCCCCTCCCCACCTTAGCAGAAGATTGGAGAGTTACTTTCTGGAGAGAGAAAAACAAGAGCATCTTTGAGGTATAAAGACACATTTGCTAGTATCAGTGCTGTACCAAAAATAGAGTTCCCAATCAGCTTTTTCGTCCTCCACCTTTAATCATGAGCAGACAGCCAAGTATTACTGTCACCCAAGGAAACATTCAAGGAAACGCCTCTAACACAAAACATATCATTTACATACATATACATTTATATATTCATATTTTTCACAGAGGTAAGAGAAGCTATATCCATAAAACAGGAACAGAATACAATAAAGAACATTAAAAAAATTAAGAGTTCTTAGAAATTAAAAACACAATAGCTGAAATGAAAAAAGAGGCATGGAGAATACAATTGAGGCAAGTCTTCCAGGAACCAGAGTAAAAAAGATATAGGAGAGAAGCTGGGGGCTTCCCTGGCAGTCCAGTGGTTAAGAATCTGCCTTCCAATGCCAGGGACACAGGCTCAATCCCTGGTCGGGGAACTAAGATCCCACGTGCCGCGGGGCGACTAAGCCCGCGCCGCAACTACTGAGCCCACGCCCCACAAGGAGAGAGCCCACACTCAGCAACTACTGAGCCCGTGTGCCACAACTAGAGAGAAGCCCACACGGCACAATGAAGAGCCTGCGGACCACAGTGAAAGATCCCGCGTGCCTCAACTAAGACCTGACGCAGCCAAAAATAAATACATTAAAAAACAAAAAAAAGACTGCTCTTCAAATGCAGGGGGTGTCGGTTCAATTCCTGGTCAGGTAACTAGGATCCCACATGCCTCGGGGCAAAAAAACCCAAAAAGTCACAGGGAGAGAAACAGGAACACTATTAGAGGACCAGTCCAGGCGGACCGATATCTGAATAACAGGAGTTCCAGAGACGGGGGCGGGGGAGGTTGGAAGGAAATGAAAGAATTGCAGAAATTTTCCTAGAGCTGAAGGATGTGAGCTGCCCATTTGAACGGGTCTACCAAGTGTTTAGTATAAACAAATAAAGAATGAGACCTACACTGAGGCACACCATTGTGAAATATCACAATCAGGGAACAAAAAGAAGATTCCACAAGACTCTTGAAAGAAAATACAGGTCACATACAAAGAATCAGGACTCAGACTTCAGTCTTCTCAACAGTCACGTTGGAAGGAAGATGACAATGGAGACATTTCTTCAAAATTATGAAGGAAAATTATTTCCAACCGAGAATTCTTCACCCAAACCATCTTATGAAAGTAACATAAAGATATTTTCTCAGACATAAAAGACCTCAAAATGGTTACCTTCCATGCATCTTTTCTCAAGAAGCAACTGGAGAGAGTATTCCACCAAAAAAGTAAATTTTTAGTAAAGACGATAACTTAGGGTACAGAATATAGAAGATCCAATATGGGAGAGAGACGACAGTAATCTTTCGGAGGACTGGATTGTGAAGAGAAGTTCCAGGATGCCAGCTGTGCACTGGATTTAAAGGGCCACTACTTCAGTTGTAGTGACGTGACTCCTGAAACTGTCATCACCAAGACAACCACTGACATTGTTCCTAAGGACAGGATGCTCAGATAGGCCTGCTCCAGATTTTTATTTATATCTGGCTTGTCTTGATGTACCTACTCACTCCACCTTGCCTTACTTCCTGGATCAGCTGAGACCACTCATTTTCACCTCCCAGATGAGGTAAAGATTCTGCTTTAATCAATTGCTAAGTGTTGGAAGACCACAAAGGGCTCAGAATCCAAAAATAAAGAACAGCACTCTTCCCACGTGACCATATACTTGCTGAACAAGCCTGCAATACCCGGCCCATACTAGAGCAATGACAGATACCTGACCAAGATGGCGTCCTATGTTTCCAAAATTAACTCATTACACTGCTTAATGATTACCTGAGTAGAAACTCTTCAAGCTCAGTGAACCTGACGCCTGACTAGTCAGCTTGTTTCCTGGAAGCTTTCATCTAACTATGGTAATGCTGCCCCTTCCTAACTCAGTTAGCTTAGTACACTATTCATTTTTTCAAAGTAAACGATACATTGCTTAGGAAATATCCACAGACAATAAAACTGTAAAGAAAAGTAAAAGAGTATAAACACATTAAGTCAGGATAATGGCACCTCTGGGAACAGGGATTGGGATAGGAGCTGGGGCACACTTAGTATTCTAAAACACTAATAATTACTAGTATTACTAATGCTAAAATACTAAATACTAATAATCTAAAATACTAATAATTTCTACTTTTTAACCTGAGCAATAGGTAATACGTCCTCTTTTTGTTATTCTTAAGTTGAAACATACATATTTGATACACCCTTGTTTTGTATAACACATTGCACAAAATTTTTAAATGAACTACGAAACAAAGATACAGTGACTTTTAAAAAAGCCAGTACGCACTGAATATTAACCTTGAATTTCCTACTCTGTATAAGGCAAAAGATGAGTCCAACTTGCGAACATTAGAAAGAAATTCTTTTTCACAAATGGGGTCCACTGACAGCTGAATCTTCATTCATGCTCCTCGATCAGCTTTACAATCACAGCCCACAGTCAGTACCACCCAGCTAAACAACAGCTATTAAAGAGAAGCATGGGATAAGTAAAAACTGACGAGGTCTCCACTCATCAGAAACTCAGGAGGCAACATCATAAGCAGCATCTAAAGTAGTATTGACCCAAGCAATGAATATTTATATATAGTGCAAGGGACTTATAACTTCTTTCATTCTTCTAAAATCTAATAGTATTTTTAATAGTAACATTAATCTCAGATTATCTTCTATTGTGAACTCCCCCACCCATACCCAACCGGTAGGAAATAAATTTTCTAAACTGTGAAATACTTGAGGACTAGAATTCTGTACAGGCCAATCCCTCTATCTATACTCTCTTCCCCACCAACTAGGATTGTGGACCCATTCCTTAGTTGGGTTTTGTCTTGTTTCAATATTTCTATGGTTCCTTGCCTTTAACCATAAAAAAAGCAAACATCTCTATTAAAAATGTTCAACTCTTCTCTCTTTTAAATGAACTCCAGATCTTTGCTTCTTATTCCTGTACACGCCTCTGAAAAACAGTCTAACTCCTTGACTCCTTACCTACATGTACCTGTATTCTAGATTCTGCCACCTCACTGATGCTACTCTCTCAAAAGGTAAGGACCAAACTCTATTTCAGTTTTCATCCTCCTTTACATTTTTCTGCAGACTCTTATACACTGACCAGCTCCTCATTTTTTTTAAATTAATTAATTAATTAATTAATTTTATTTTGGGCTGCGTTGGGTCTTCGTTGCTGCGCGCGGGCTTTTTCTAGTTGCGGCGAGCGGGGGCTACTCGTCGTTGCGGTGCGCGGCCTTCTCATTGCAGTGGCTTCTCTTGTTGCGGAGCACGGGCTCTAGGTGCGTGGGCTTCAGTAGTTGTAGCATGCAGGCTCTGTAGTTGTGGCTCGCAGGCTCTAGAGCGCAGGCTCAGTAGTTGTGGCGCACGGGCTTAGTTGCTCCGTGGCATGTGGGATCTTCCTGGACCAGGGCTCGAACCCATGTCCCCTGCATTGGCAGGCGGATTCTTAACCACTGCGCCACCAGGGAAGGTCCAACCAGCACCACATTGTAAAAATTCTTTCTTGCATCGTTTTTGTTCTCTTTCTACCACGCTGCTTTTAAGCATCTCCTCTTCTCTTGACTCTTCTTCCACTCCCAGTGACTCAAATGTAGCCACATTACCAAGGTTCTGTGCTCAGCACCTCCTTTCTCTTTACTCTGTATTACCTTCCCAGGCAAGTCCACCCGTTCTTCCGGTTTCAAATAGCACGTCTGTACTAACAATTACTAAATATCTATTTTCTACTCTGGCCCATCTCCTGAACTCCAGAACCAAATTTTAAACTACCAACCTAACATCATTATAGGAATGTTCAGCCAATACTTCAAACTTAACATGTCTAAATGGAACAAATTATCCACATCTCTCCCTGTTCCCCCACCCTATGTTCTTCTCTAAACCTCAGTTTCTTCATATTTAAAAGAAGAGGTTACAATAATAACTCACACCTCACAAAGTCCCTTGAAAATTAAATACCACAAAGTGCTCAGCAGTGTCTAGCACAAAGTAAGTACTCAATTAGTGATGTCCATCATTACACTGTAACCATAGTAATAGTATTTAAACCTACTACTTGCTCTCAACTTTGGAGGGCATCTTTTCACATTACAATCAGAATTTTTTGTATTACTTCTTTATACAAAAAGTTTTCATGAATACCCTTTTGTCTAAAAGGAAAGTTGAACATACTAAACAACGGTTTTTAACATTCTGTGAAATATAACCCTCAACCTACCTGTTAAGGGTTGATCTG